GATTAATAACACATAAATCAATTTATCTATAGAATTTAAGAAAATTTAGAATGTCTTAAATTTTTAGATATACATATATTGATGCATGTACATTATATTATATATTACATATATATAAAGTTATATTTAATCCTCTATAATTTTTCATTGTAGATATATGAAATCTAAAAGTTCACTGAAATAGCCTTAATAAATGTTCACAATGTTCTCGTGCTTCTGATGACTAATTGTTTAATAATTAACAAATATATCATCTTGCAGGATTATCATTTAAAATTGGAATTCTTTTTAAATTCTCGGCTCATCATTAATTTGGAACTAATGAATTAATTCAGATTAATAATCAGGACCATCTAACTATAGAACAACATCGAAGAAAATTTAATTTCTTTTTCTTATAATTTTTTTCGATACCGATTGATCGAAGTAAAACCGAATTTTTACGTTAAAATAGAGATATTGTATTAATCAATCAAAACAAAAGCTTATAATTTCCGGTTTACTTAAATGATATTTTTGGTACCGTAAATCGTTCTCTTTCGAAAATATTAATTTATAAATAACTTGTAAATCTTGATAAAAGTTGACAAATTTAAAATCAAGTGTAAATCAAGCAACTCATAAGATACATGGGAGTCCTTCAAGAATTGCCGCAGAACAGTTCTAATCTATTGATAACACGTCCCTGTAATATTTATTATTAATACCTTGCTAACTCACCTTAGTGGACTCGTTGTAACCGACGATCACGGCTGTGTACCATTGTGTAGTGCCTTCCGCCCGATAAACTTCGACCCTGAAACCGACCAGAACACTGGGCGTAGTCAACAGAATCCTCTGACCGTCTTGCATCTCGGCCCATCTTCTAACGGCGTTTCCCCAGGGCATTGAGCCCTTAGTCAGCTCCCAGTCCTGCTGTAAAGACGAACAAAAAAGACCGAGGTTGAAGCTTCGTTCGTAGAACTTGATTAAGAAGAGCGGATTGTTTTCCTCCGCTCGAGAACTTGTCCGCGATTTTGGAAGAAAAAATGAAGAAGGAAAAAATTTGCAATTTGATAAGAGATAACAAAGAGGATAAAAAATTCCACAAAAAACTGAGCGCACGGGATTTTACTCTAAAGACAGACTGCGATTTATACTATACTTTATTATTTTTTACTGATAATGTTAAAATATAATTAATAAGTTTAATATGAATAAAACCTTAATTATTTTATTTTATTTTACAAAAATGTATATAAAAAAAATATTTGAAATATATGAATCTTCGGCTATTATATAATATCCCATTGTATGTTTTGAAAGATAGAAGCTGATGCGCATTTTATCTTATTCGTTGACTTTATTATTATCTCACGTACAAAAAGAACGATTTTCCTGAAGTATCTAAAAGTTTAACTAGATATATGTAGACTTAAAAATAAATTTTGAAAATTGTCAAAATAATTATGTAGAACGTTCAAGCGCTAATTGTTACAATATTAAAATTTTTTGTAGTATTGCTTTTAACGTTTGAGTTTTCTATACAAATACTTTAATAAATTAATAAATTTATTTTCAGATTCATAATTAAATTTTTAGATATTTCAGTAAAATCATTCTTTTTGTGTATTAATACTGTCATAAATGATAAACACAACGGAAAACAATGCGCAGAAACTTGAAATATTAGGTGTGGGAAAAAGTTCGTGGCGCTTTTTTTTCCCGTTAGATAGCATTAAAAAAACGACATGAATTTTTTCCCACACCTAATAGATATCAAATTTGGTTAAGGAGAAACGTCATATTTTACGCAATCGCTATGTCAGAAGATTTTATACATACTCTTAAAAACAGTGTCGAGAAATTAGATCCGATGAAACAAAAATTAATATCGAATATTTAATATCCCTTTGTTAAATCTATAATTGGATATCTCGATAATTTCTAACGCATTAGAGCGCCAATCAAAATGTGACATTGAAAAACGTTAATTACATCTGGTTTCTCGAGCTATAAATATAGTCAAAGATTATAAGTAATTAATACATAATACGTTTTGTCGTCTCTACATGTTAATAAACTAATAAATCTTATATAACATGCAAATAGATGGCTGTAACTTTTAATGTCATTTCCAAGTCGACCGTACGACCGTACGAAAAAGATTTCAATTTTTTTTAGATTAAAACAATTTTCTAATTTATGTAACTCCGTGCATAATTTTAAAATTGAACTCTTTTTATCAATTTTGCATGGTTGATTTGAAAATGGCGCGATTTTCAAGCAGGAGAGAATCGCCGAGAAGAAAACTCGACGGAGTTTGGAAGTAAAATGTTTAGACTTTAAAACGTTTCTTTTGAAATGTTTCTGCGAATATTTCTGATAAAGTTACATAAGTTTGTATTTCATCATTGTCGATTTAACGTGACTACTTGTTGAAGAGTGCATTTATAATAATGGGATTCTCTTAAGAATGTTATGCAGATTCAGAAAGGAAGGGATAATGTCAATTTTCACCTTGTTTCGCGATCACTTTTTTTTTCTCGATGACGAGTAAATGCAGTCGAGCGAGCACACCGCTCGTATTCGCATTTAAGTTACGTCATCACTACGCCGTTACGTCAGACACGCGTTATGCAATCGTTGCGCATAGCGTGACGGCGCGAAGCGCGTTAATGGTAGTAATACAACGGCAATTAGAACGTTATTACCGAAGCGTCGAGAGCACTTAATGTCCGCGCAATGCTCGTCGTGAACGCGATTCACGAAGCACTTTACATGAAGTTCCAATGCGGACCAATAGCACTTCCTTTCTTCGATATACTTATTTTTCTCTCTTTGATTTCGAGATAATTCAAAAATTTAATTTATTACATAATCAACAAGAATAAACAATAAAGAAACAGAGTTATAATAATTTATAGAAATTCATTGAGAGATAAAACTCCGTCGCATTTGATACAGAAATAGCCTCTAAAGATTTATCGAGCAAAATCTGTAAATGAAAAAAAATCACAGATGATTACGACCTCGCGGCAGGAGGCACTACGATTCGACCAGATTTGATGATATAAACTTAACTTCGGTCTCGACTGTTATTATCTTATGCCCGCTGTGGTCTGCATATTTTGCCCAACTTTTTCCTGGTTATTCTTGGAGCCTTCATTATGCGAGTGAATCGAATGAAATAAATGCTAGAAAAATGGAAAAGCAGCTTCACGCGATCAAAAAGAACTGCGTAATTATACGAATAATAATTGCTTTGTAGGACTGGAAATATGACGTACATCTCAAACTCAATGTATTTTGCAAATTGATATTCCTACCGTTAATATGTAAAGTACGACGTAAACTTTGCAGACTGCTAAACATTATAATTAAAATTACGTCAATCTTATTATGCTCTTCATAAAGTCCTCACATTTCACGAAACTTTTTACAGAGTTATTCAATAAAAATATTCATTAAAAATATATCAGTTTTTCTAATATATACCAATTTTTACTCGTTTTGCTTGTCTCACTACTGATATTGTACTGGTATTGTAAAAATGTCATGGATTTCAGATTCGAAAACTTCGTTTTCATTCAATTTTACGTTTTTCTCATCGCCAAAAATAAAATGTAAAATCTTATAAAGAAAGTACTATATGATTAAAGAGCTGTCTTAATAATCATATTATATTTAAGAAAGTTAAGCGAGATGTTAGTTTAGATAAAAATTTTCCTAGACCTGTAATATGCAACATGCGTTTAGATAAATGTCCAGTATCTCTAACATCCCGAAATTATCGTTTAAATTATCTCTTCGTGCGAAATTGATACATGCTATTGTACATATATTCGTGCACGTAGCATAATTTCTTGCAATTTTCTCATCTATCATAAATGAAAGTGCTTGCAAATAACTAGCAACTATCATCCTTGCAGTCGTTCGTATCCATTGTAAAATCGTTCTCTGCAAACTCAGAAGAAATTTACCGAGAGACACAATCAATAGAAAATTTTCGCACAACATATGGCATTAATGGGGAGATACTCGTCAAGCGCAGTCAAGAGCAGTTCGCAAAACGTATTTTTTGTTCGTCAAGCCGTTATAATCATTAAATGTCGATATCGAGTCGAGAAATAACGTCTGTCTGGACACGTCGCGCACCAATTATAACGTGGAAATGAACGACCAGGATTGGTCTCGGGGTCAACGAGATTATCTGTCGGTCGTTGAATTATTCGTACGCATGATAATTCGATTCGGAGATGTCATTCGGCACGAGAACGAGAGAAATCATATCCTTATTTATGGATTACGACCCCACGTTATGGATTGCTTGCTCCGAAAGATCGTTTCCAGTTTTCTCTCATTCAAAGTGAGTCGACTAAATCCCATCTCCGATCGTATTCTCGTAATTTTAATCCTCTCCACAAATACGATGCAATTTTCAAGCAAAACTTCGTCCACAGTGCACGACCTGCAACATGCACGATCTTCTACATATGTATAATATACTACTTTCTTCTTACAAAGTTCTTGAGCTAAATTAAATAGCAACGAAGTGAACATTGTCTTTCTCATAATAAATTTTAAAGCTTGCGTATATCATAAAAAATATTTATTTATTTTATTTAAATTCAAAAATCTATTTTACTAAGTAAAAAAATTTGATGTTTGTCTTCCTTAAAAACTCTGTTTTTATCTCATTAATTATTTTTCATTGCTAGAAATAGAAAAATGTATACTTCGAAAAAGAGAAATTGAAGTACTACTGTCTCCAGAATCATACTTTAAAAAAATTAAAATAGTTAATGTTGAAAGTTCTTAATCGTTGACAATATATTTTTATCAACATAGATTGCATTTTAGAAATATTGTATATAATTATATATATTTTTATTATATATTGCGTAATTTAATACTCAAAAAAATATAAAAAATATAAAACATGTGATTTATAAATATATTATCTATAATATCGTTTTTTGCTTGTAACATTATCTTCACAGATCTAAGTTTTCGGTAATATATTTACTATTGCATATTTCATAATACGTATCTTTTATATCATATAGATTTTAATATTAATAAAAATTGTCCATGCGCTTCTTTTTCAATGAATTCTTCAATTATTAAACAAATACCTCTCGAATGAAAATTATCGGTCGGAAAATCACGGCCTACATCAATGTCGACTGTTATCGTTCTATCACGCGCCGCGTACTCGTTAGCAGTTGCTGGGGCGGCAGCTAATTAATTAAGGAGTTCCTTAATTAAGAACGCGTCCGCCATTAATCGCGATGCATTCACCGTACAATCACGGAACCAAAGCGCCGGTAGATAAAATGACTATAGGCAGGTGACTGTCGTAAAGTTTAAATTGAAGGCGCACATACAGATACATGTACCATGTACTCGCGCAATATAATTATTCGTGTACAATTATTTTTTACATTGGCGTTTGTATCTATTTGATAAAATTTAATTTTTCAATAATGAACACATCAACTCCGATATTACACGATATAACAGCTCTGTCAGTCTTACCGCTACTTAATCATTTTCGTATTTAAACTTTCCCAATGGCCGATACACGCAAAGCAGGTAGGTTATAACATCATTTATAAACTGTTTCATAACTAGGTATTACATGGATATAAGCTCAGTTTATAGAAAGTTAAGCTTTGAAGCATCAAGCCCTTGGGATAATAAAATATCCCAATATCTGAGAATATTTTAATAACAGATTCCTCAAGTTCAAATATATTGATATTTCAAAATTTCGAAACATAAAGCTGATAATTTATCATAAAGCTTGCAAAACTGATAATTTTGTGGTAAAAATATTATATAAATTCTATTAACTTTCTAAGGACTGATATGTTTTTGATCAACTTTTTTATTTTAAAAGCTAGAACTTTTTTATCAATGTCATGGGGTTGGATGGCAAAAAATATGCCACTGTCGAGTCCCTAAAGGACTCTTCGGTCCTCTACAGGTTAAGAATGATGCATTACGAGCCAAAGTCATACAAAAATTCTTGACCAATAAGTTTTAATATTTAGCTTATAATTTATAGCGAATTCGATTGGACACTCAGTGCACACTGGTATTATAACTGTCGTAATGGATTAAACCGCCAAACCTTGTACTTATTTTATTGTTAGTGAAGTGAAATGTATATATTATAATTCAAAATATTCACTTTTACACTTAAATAAAATCAGTATACAATGACTTTGATATATACGCATTAGTGCACTCAACTGAATTCACTATTAGTGTGCTATTTCGCCAACTCATTGTCAATGTAAATTAAAATAAATCACTCAAGATCCTATTATAAGATAAGGCAACAGACTTCTTAATTATTTTATATAATTCCTTTATCTACAGATTCTCGCGATATTTCAAACATCACTTCATGCGTTTAGATGAACAGAAAATCATCCAAATAAAAGGTATAACATACATTCTCTTCCAGTGATCTTTCAGGTAAGATTCCGATGAGGATCGCGTGAAGGAAGATCAAAGGTATAACGCAGTGCCGTCGCACTTGGCTAAGGACCGTTAGATAGAAACGGGAATATGTTGGCGCCTCATCTTGGCTGCTCTCCAACGTTTTCCGATGATCGTACGCACGCGTTACTAATGCGAATCGTTAAACTAATACTTAACAGTTGACGTTGGCAGCAAGTAAAAACAGCCATATGGGTACGGGATCTTTTCTTAGTTTCAAGTTACATAAATGCAGCTTTAAAATCCATTCTCTAATGAAGAGTTCCTTTCATTAGACCATCCTCTAAATATATATAGAAAAAACTCTAGATTAAGAAAAGAAAGACTTTAGGTCTTTAGAAGATAAAAATATATATTCCTCCTTTGTCTGATTTTTTTATTCTTATAAGGATTTAGAGTCTTTTCTTAATCTGTTCTAAATCCGCTGGTCTTAAACCATAAATGACTATAAAATAAAATTTATAAAATAATTTATACTATTACTTCCAATGCATATAAATATTTAATCTTCCATCTGCAATCATATTTTTATTCTCTCTCTCTCTCTCTCTCTCTCTCTCTTTCTCTCTCTCTCTCTCTCTCTCTCTCTCTCTTTCTCTCTCTCTCTCTCTCTCTCTCTCTCTCTCTCTCTCTCTCCAGCCTAAGTATTATTACTATTCTACGCTTTCAAAAAAGTAGAAAAATCAAAATTAATTTTCAACGTATCTATTATATTACTAAGTTTTAACAAGATATTTCAGTAGAGGAATCTGAATCTCTTTTATTTCGAAAAAATTTGAAAGTAAAATGTTGCTTGTATCAAGAAAGACCCAGACGGATGATTAATATTCGCGAAATGTTAAGTGCGGTAGCATTCGTTCATGGCACCTACGACAACGAGAGCAAAGCGAAAACGATGTCTCCAAGCGACGTCGCGCGCAAGGGTACGCATGTTAGGTACTTATGCGATGCAACGGGGAGAAAAAACCTTGTCGCATTTATAGTTCAGGGTCAGCCACTCGCGTGTAACTTTGCCCCCCCGGACGAATTTGGTTCCTTGCACCATTTCTTCGCCCCTTTTATATATCTTTTTTTCCTTTTAACCGCTGATTTTCTCCTTTTCTCGAGCCCGCCAATTCGCAGTAAAGTTGAAAGTAAAGATCTATAGCCGTTCGAAAGAGATTTGTTGTTCAAATTAGGCCAATTTACAAATGCAGAAAGAATTCGGAGTGACGATATATATAGCTTCATGAGTAATTTTGTCAAACCACAATAAATACAAATAATTAAAACTTGTTTTGAGTATGTTTATTATAAAAGTCAGCGTCAAATATTGTCTCAATTTAAAATGCTAAACTCCATCATTTAAGATGTTAAATTTCAATCAAAAGGCTGAAAAAATGCAATTTGTTTTGCATTGTTATAACATAGAGATTTTTCAGAGCATCCTTAATGCATACAAGTTACGAAGATAATACGTCTTATTTGAAATGGACTAATAAGTCGCACATGGCAGGATAAAGGGCGGATTTGAAAGGTGAGACACACCTGAACCTGACCGCCGGACTGAAAGTTCTCGCCGCACGTAAACGATTTACAACCTCGTATACCGTCGTCGAAGCGGGAAAAAGTTTTAACGGTAAAAGTTTCCCGGTAGTTTAATTACTTGGAAACAATTCCACCTCGCTCAACTCTTCCTACCCTAACAGAAACGCGACAACTTTCGAAGTGGCCGCACGCACACACAAAAACGTGCACGCGCACTGTTCTTTCATCCTCGCGAAGAGGGATCGGTCTGATCGATTTATTATCTCGGTTGAGTGTCTCGTATTTCCCTATCTGGAAGCTTCCCCAAGCTCGACAAAAGCGTGGAAGTTTCTGCATGCTCATTCATTACAACTGCCTCAAACTAATCATCGAAGGTCAAAAATACCGGAATCTGCTTATCATTTGTAATTAGCACATTAAAAACCACATTCGTGTCGGAAAATTTCAGCGATTTAATTTCTCTTTTTAATGAATAACCGATAAATTGTATTAAATAAGCAAATAAATGGAAAAAGAAATAAGAAAACGTATTATTTGATAATTTGTTCGTAAATTTTAATGGAATATTCATGATGAGATAAATAAAATGATAAAAACATCCAGAGAAAAAAAAAAATAATACATGCAATGTAAAATTTCTATTGTTGATAAAATAGTAATATATTAACAAATAAATTTAAACAATTGTAAACAACGTAATTACATTAAATTCTTTAGCTTTTATTTACTTTTCATTTAATTCTTTAGCTCAATTTACTTTCTAGTTCATGTAACCTCCATTTTTGCCCTATAAATAATTTAGCCATACATATATCTTCTCATTAATAAGTTTCTTCAATTTCGTTCGTCATCGGGAAATAATAAAATTTTCAGTTCAGAGAGGAATCCGCGAAAAGTTCTGTCACACTCGCGAACATAACTTCTGCATACACGAGAAAGTGAAACGGGAACTCGAGTCAAAGTTCGGCTGCTCTTTCCACCTGGTAAGTTCGGTCGAAGCTCTTCCGCGTAGCTCTTAAGAGAAGTTGGACAACAAGCCTCCGTGAAAGATTACTTACAGCAGCGGTACGACTCGGGAGAGAAGAAGAGATGCGCGCTCTCGCATTCGCATCCGTTGCCCTGGAGAGGTGTCGGATGCGCCAATGGCGCCGGAACTTGTTCTCTAACTAAGTTCCCAGCGAGGCCCCCTAACGAAGTAAGTTTCCAGTTGTAAAGCGGAAGTGGCCGCTGTGACGCGCTATACCACCGCCGACCGAATGTTCGCTCCGCTCACGGGCTTTTAATCGTTTTTTCGGAATCCTTTATTGCATCTCGCGCGTGAAATGTGCAGGACAGCGCAGCGGTGAGGAAATTAGGAGGAAAACGAGATAACGGATTGCGTCAATGTATCTTGATCAGCAAAAATTATCACCATACTTCTCGTCACGCGCACGAATTTTATGCTTTTATGTTTTTTTCACAACTCCTATTCACAAAGCACATGACAGCTAATTAAAGAATATTGTTGGATCATCAATTCTTTCTGCTAAACAAAAATGTTACCTTCGTCACACGTTAAACTTTCATAAAGCGTGAAAAATATCAAATTAAAACCGTATTAACTATAAATAATAATCGTAATTAAAATTAATATAAAAAAAGAAAAGTAAAATTAATATAAGTAATAAATATATTGAAACAAATTGATAACTGTAATGATAATCAACCACACAATTAGATTCTTCGTGTCCTACGTTTTTCTTTTCTTCAAAAAACTAGGAGCATCCAGTATAAAGTTTTTGAATACTCAACCTTACAAATGCCTTCTAAAAATATTAAAATATATATAATAATTGCTTAACAATATTTATTAAAGTAATGGAAATTAATTCAAGACACAAATAATTTGCGTGTAGTAAAATATAATAGCAACAAAATTTGTATGGAGAGTTAAACATTAATGCTTAGTATTTGTTTACAAACATAATTTATCACTTTACATGGATTACAGAGTAATTACGGAATCAAAGATCATACGTATTATGATGATGTTACAGCTAATATCTTCGATAGAGCGGTTGATCTTATATAATAGGAATAACTAAAATTTGTGTTGACTTACAGTGAACGGCTTCAGCTTGGAGTAGTCGACGAAGTCCAGTTTGCGATCTTGCATAAATTCGATCGGCATGGCGTCTTCGTGCAACTCGGCGCGTGCCACGAGAGGATAAAAAGTCTAAAAATAAACATGCAATTTTCGATTATATGTATATGTATAATATACTATTTCAGTTAAAATAACATTTTAATCCATCCAAGCGCATATTTTTACCGTTCAACGTGCGCATGCTGCATTTAACTAATTCCATTTACATTAAAACGTTTTAAAAAGTTGGATATCATTATGAAAGACGTAATATAATAATAAAATTTACACCAGAGCATTTTTAAAGAACGATATTTAATTCATTTATTTAATGATTATGCTTTATATAAATTAATTTTAACGAATTAATTAAAAATTACAATCAATTGCAGAATAAAAATGAAATTAGCTTATTCAAATAAAAATTATTTTAAAAACGTATTTATATTTTACAAAAAAGAATATAAATTCTTTGTATACAGACTTTGTATACAGACACTTTGTATACTTTGTATTATAATCTCTTTGTATACAGATAATAGTTTTAATCTGATGACAACAGATATTAAATAAAAATTGATTATTACTTACATATAAAAGGAATAGAAATAAAGATATTAACAATTACAGCAATGAATATTTCAGCAATATTTATACAACGTGGCATTCAGACCTTTTGATGTTCCTTTATAAAAAACTGCATAAAAGGCAAAAATTTTAAATATATAAACGTAATTATTTTTGTAGTTGAATTTTCACAAAATAATTAAGCTTATTCAATCGAAGCATTAAAATTTTAATCAGAAAAAGAGCGCCGAGCCAATGGAATGCGACAGTCCGTTTTGTAGTGGTTGAATTGTAACGATGTAAAATTTATTCAACGGACTGGAGAATGAGTATTTCATTAATTAACCACGAGCTGATTAATATTCGAATAGTATCACGAACATTTCTCAATTATCATCGTTAAAATATGAGAGATCTGCATTAAAAATGGTAAATCGTGATAGTTTCTGTGTATAATTCGAAAGAAATCACACGTGACATTACTGCCGCATTCAGGCGTGAATATTATATCGTATAATATTTAAACCGTGGTAAAAATATTCTTTTAACGGTATATCGTATAATTAATTAATTAATTTCTATAAATCTACATTTCTAAACAAGGCAGGAAAATTCTGTAATTCGTAATGCGATTAACAAAAAGAAAGAACTTGTATTTCGTTTTCGAGTCATATTTAGTGGGTATTTGAAGAGGAGCATCTCTCTTTATTTTTTTTTCCTTACAATCTAATTTAGAAACTATTCAACCGATGACGAGAAATCTGATACAAAAAAAATATTGATATTTTTTTCTTTGAGAAAAAACGAAACAAGGTCCAATTCGTAAATGCATGAAAAATAGATACAATTTATTTATACTTACAAGAGCTGGCCAAGCAACGGTGTCGGCGACCGCCGTGGCGCTCCTGAGCGGTTTCCCGTTAATGCGGTGCTGATGGTGGTTATTGTTCGCGTGATTATGATGATCGATGGGGATGAGACTGGCGTGCCTGGGGTCAGGTCGTTCAGCCCAGTAGAGACCTCTTTCAATGAGAAAGAAGGAAAATACGGCATCCCTATGTGGTGACAGCCACTCCCTCCTTTGCCATTCCACGTCGTCGTACTCTACGAGGATCTGCAAGCATATATAATCGAACGCTTACATTAATTGCATTATATATAATAAAGCGATTAGACGAGAAATTTCGAAAAGAGACAAAGCTCAAGAAACAAAGCTTTGTGACGGTTCAACTCTGAACGAAAGTAAATTGATAATATAACGTTGAAATAAATCCATGTATCCATATATTTTTTTCCTCTTGTTAATAAAATAATTAATATCTTAATTAATAATATTTTAATTAATAAATAGAAATCGATCGAATTAATGTAATAATATAGTAGAGAGCGCCTAAAGATCGATCAAAGTTGGAAGTTACGAATAATATAATATTTTAAGTTCATGAATTTAATTAATCTCAAATGTGATTGTGCGCCGAAACGGACATTAAAACACAATCAATCTGAGATGCTAATAATCGCGAGCCGAAACGTTCGGACAATCGCGAGTATACAAGATGCGTCACCAAAATCCGGACAAATTTCAATTTAAATTTTCCGCTATATTGTGCCTTCGCCAGAGATTATTGTTGGCATCTGAGAAAGCCTGATGCTTCTAGTAAACATTCTCGAAATGGCCACGATGATGAAATCAAGTGCGGAGTATAATCAAAGAGCCGCGATCATCGAAAGTCTTCGCGCTCAGCAACGAAAATAATTCGGTTCTTTGGATACCCAAGATTAACTGTTTATGATGTTGTGGCAAAATATACGGCTTTAGAACAGTCCAACGAAGGTATGCCAGAAAGAATCACTCGAAAGAACGCACCGTGAGGATCCTCACAGGATCGTTGAAAGGATTCAAGTGCTGATTTCGGATGACCCAGGGTAATCGTTGCGAAAATTAGCATCGATTGTGTAAGCGAGCCAACAATGCGTCAAATTGCCGAGGAGGACCTTCGATACAAATCGTACACATTAAAGATATGACAGATGCTCTCTGAGGCTGCTAGGACAACCCGAGTTGCTCGTCTCGACTCTCATTCTGGTCTCCCAACAGCCCAGATTTAAATCCCTTGGACTACTACGTATGAAGTGTAGTTGAAAAGATCACAAACAAATCTCGGCATTCCAATGACGTCATTAAGGATTACTATTCATGTAAGACAACATTCGTCGGCATGGACAGCGCTACATTACAGCGTGCGTGCGAACGCTTCAGATCGAGAATAAAAACTGTCATTCAAGCTAATAGGGGATATATTGAATAATTGTGCTCTACAGGGATCTCCCAAGTGCCATGTAAAAGAATTTTTTGTAATATTTAATTTTTCATTAAAAACATTTTGTTCGATTTGTCCGGATTTTGGTGATGCACCTTATGATCCCCCCCTTTATTACAAATAAGAAACTTTTATTATCTCAGCCAAGATTCGAGCCTGAGATCTCTTGACTTTCTGAGGCGAATGTCTTAGCTAACTCGACCTCTGGGTTTCGGAAATATTTTTCGCAATAACTGACATGTATGAGAGAACGATGTATTTTAATAAATAGAAATGACTAATGTAACAACATAATATAGTAGAGAGCTAAGGATCGGTCAAAGTTGAAAGTTACGAATAATAATATAATTAATAATATTTTAATTAATATTTTGCAACTGATATATAATATAGAAACCATATATCTTTGTAAGAGACGTAATATAAAAACCATTTTGCGAATAATCCCTTTAATTAAACAGCATTACCAGAACAATTTTCAGCTTAGCCATTTTTTTAAGTTACAACATAACAATGTATCCTGTCTGTTGTTAATTAGAGACTTTCAAAATAAGGTGCTACATAATGAAATGAAATCTGTGTAGGTTCTACTTATTCCACGGAATCATGAGGGGTTAAAGATTAAACCATTCTCGACAACGAGCGGTTATCATGCGAACGATGCATGAGGCGGGACCTTTCAGCTATCCACGTAACAACCACCTAGTTAATTATCAGCGCCTATTATCGTGATATTCATGCACGCTTATCGAGTCTCTCATTCGCGTTCCTCCAGAAACGCACGCAACGAATTCGAGCGTCGATGGTAAAATTGTCTCGACTATATCATATATATATTTACACAGAGAGAATGAGAGAGAGGATGGTACATGGAAATGGTGCAATTAATATGTATTATTCATAACCTTTGGCCTGGAGCAGAAAGTGCTGGCTGCTAGGATAACGAGAGAGGGTCATGGAAGCGGGATGTAGCAGGATCCGCACGCTCGGTTTACTCTTGGGCTTTGTCAACGCGACCGGGATTCGGTCGGAGAGCCGATTTATCGAATCAAATGACGGATAGTCATTCTGTATTCTATGGCCTCTGCGAAAGTGCACGCTCTACTTTAGTCTAAAATTAAATAAATATTTACTCTTTCCGATTCTCTTCAAATTTAACAATATAAAATACATACACTATTTAACTCAAAATTTTACAAGTTGGACTTCTATTAAATTTTTCGCCATAAAATAATTTTAAAATATCAGCGCCTTTATCACGCAGAACTTCTAAAGCTTGAAATAATCCCCATCTTCCACTATTTAAAGT